GTCACCTGCTCATGTGAATAAATACTTTCAAAGAAATTCTTTTTTTTTGGAAAATTTCATTAATCATTCAACATCGCTATGCCTCAGCAGTGTATATATTCCATTGAACCGAACAAAATTAATCTACTTATTATTGTTCAGATCAAAAAGTGCGAGTTGTTTTCAACTAAAAACCTCAAGTAAACAGTAGAAATCCAATGGCTGGCTCTTCCTGGAATTTGAATAATTCGACTTTCAAGTTGTTATAATTTTTTCTGTCGGAAACTGACAGATCAAGACACTGAAATGATTGATCTAGATTTATATAAATATATAGAATAACAATGCAAATGTCTCTGTATTATCAAGTAAAATTTAAAATAGAACTAAATCATATTACTAAACAACAAATATTTTTGTTTTATACATATATGAAATCTTTTCCAATCTCATCTGTCACATATTTTCTTAATAGTCATTGCATAAATACTGAATCTTTTAATTTTAATTTTTTTTTTCTTTAAGAATTATATTACCTCTTCTCGACTAATCTTTCCATGAAACCAATTTTCTTTGTAAACATCTGAATCTTTCACAGTATTCCATCTACCTAAAAAAATAAAATTTAATTAAAAAACACTCAACTGTCATTCATAAGAATAATAACATTTATCTTTCGAACGAAACTTGATATAACAATTCAATAATTTGCATATATATTGTAATAAAAAGGCTCGTAGTCACTTATTCAAATGATTATTTTTTTTTTTTTAATTTTATGCATATTATTTAAATAACTTTTCTATAAATTTTTATATATATATATCAAATAATTTTTCTATATATATATATATATATATATATATATATATGCAGTGGTTATTGAAAAAGCAATTGAGAAACAATAGATTGTCTGCAATAGGAGAAGCTTAATGGGACGTGTTCATTATTCTTTCAACACATTTGAATGTCATATACCAAATATGTAACTATTTTTGTCCATGATAGCAAATACTTATCTGACAATGACCATGAACTATACAGCTTGACATAAGAAGAGTATGTCTACACCACTACTCATCAATAACCATTTACATATAAATAGGAAATCTATATATATATACCCTGTATCTCTTGTTGCTGATCATTGATATTGTTCGAAAGAAAACGATTTTGATTTTCATCTTGTTTCTATAACAAAAAAAAATGTAATTTTTCGAGTGTTCTCAAAAACCAAACAAAAAAAGTGAAATTTTACTCGTGAAAGTTGTCGATCATGATCAGATGATTTAAACGATCTAAACACAAAAATTCAAATAAAAAAAACATGACCTTGAAATTTAGTCTTGTATACCCATGTTGTTCATTGGTTTGTCGTTGTGTTTGCATATATTCATTATATCGTAGTTCAAAAGCTTGTCCAATAGTTGTTATAACATCTAATGACTCATTTGCTTCGCATGAAAGTACGTGACATGCCCGTTTATTCATATTATCTTTCGCTACATAAGCTATATAATCTTTTGTATCCTAAAATAAAAAAAAAACAACAAATCATAAATCAAATACAATAAATACACATATATATATATTCATACATGTTCACCAGCACTTGCAAATGAAATTCCTTCCATTCTATGTGAACAAAGTATTTGAGAATCATTTTTACGTTTAAGTACAAGTGCATCAGTACTAATTATTAGTTCAACAGGTGTATGACTATGTGTTAAATTCGCTTGTGTTGCAATCATTGATTGATCATTCGAAAATGCACCAGGCTAATTAAAATATATATTAATTCAAAAATTGTTATAAACAAAATATTATCTAGTTACTTTACGTCGTTCTCGAAGTGTGACACCGGCTGCAGTGCATACTAAACGTATAGAGTCACGAGCAACTCGTGTACGACTATCAAAATCAAGTGATTTCATCGAACATAGTACTTCAACAGAACCAAGATACTTAAAAAAAAAATTTCAATAACCAATAAAATATAAATAATGTTATTACAATGACATTATAAGTGACGCCATGACCAGATAAAAGGTCTGTATCTGAATGTATCCAGCGTGTTTCTTCATCAGCATTGGCCATTTTGGATTGAGTTAAAATCATAAAAAATATCTAAAAAAAGAAACAATAAAAAAAATGACAAAAAGCAAATAAATTGGAGTCAACAAGCAAAATTGATAAAGACAAAAATTGACATCCTAATCTTTATAGTCTTCCTCTTCGTTCGTCAAGAGAGAAACAGAAAGAATGGATGGTTAACATACTTTCGAGTTATAAAAAATCATCCAATAGATGTCACACATTGATAAATATCTTATATTTCAAAAATGAATTAATCAATGGTTCTTTTTTAATCCTATGAAAAAAATGAACATAAAATAATAATAATAATAATAATAACAAAGAAAAAAATATTTAGTATTCTTTTAAAACAAAAATGTCTGAAGAACACGTTAGCTATGTTCCAAATCAGAGTGGAAGGTAACATTTGTTTTATCAATCAATTTTGTTATCGTTTCAATTCATTCTTCTGAACGTTATAAAAAATCTTGATATGATAATTGATGCCGAGTATGAAATAAGTCTTTTCCTTTTTCTTCTATTGGAATTCAAAAAATAATGAGAAATAAAATTTAATTGTAAAATAATTCTATTATTCTTGTGACATTGATCTATTTGAAAGCTTTATGAAACGCATATGCCAATGCTAAATTTGGCATTCATTGAATTTGATATTCGATTAACTCCAATCTAATACAAGTTTTGTACACACATGAAAAGAGAAATGTAAGTCATAATAAACTTTGACAGTCGTATATTAGTTAAACAATATTAAGAGCAAAGTCTTCTTATTGAAAAATTTCTTTTGATTTGAGACCATATGCATTATGTGAATCCATATGAACTATAAATACTTTTAAGGTATTCTTACAGAGGTGCTGCACTTATACGATCTTTTTAACTGAATGTGGGAACAACAGAAGAACTGATTTTCAAATTTAGACTTTAAACTTTGCATAGAGACAAGCCCTAACAAGAATAGTTTATGTGAATGTTTCACATCTGATCGCTGTTACTACCCTAAAATACAACTATGGTAAGAGCATGACTCATGTCTTGTACATATAAACTGGCAGACTTGAGATTCTTACTTCAGGATAGAAGCAAATTAAAAGACTTTAAATTTTCACAATAAAGTACTCTTCTTAAAGCCTGTCATTGTGCAAAGTTTCAAGTTGAAATATTAAAATTAGTTTTTTTTGTGGTAGTCCTGAGAGTGACGACGGTATTTATTTGAAAAAAGAATACCATGACAATTCAGTATCTTCGCAGCAATAAATCAAGAACTCGAATACTTATCAAGATATTGATAGTTCATTTGAATCTACATACTACGCATAGTCTACACTCAGAAACAATTTATCAATGGGAGTAGTTTCCTCGTCAAAAAAAAATTCAAATTTTAGTTCATTTAAATCACCATGTACACTTTGAGAACAATATATAAAACAATTTAGAGCATAAACTTAACCAATTCGTATCGATTTTAGACATGAACGAGCGATCTTAACCATGTCTAGTGTACATTTCCAATAATAGGCATCAACGGATGGTTTACTTTATATATATATTATGAAATTGTCAGCATAAGTCTCGATGTGGGAAAAGCTAGGGTGAGCTAGTCCAACCCCCCTCCATTTTTGACAATTGTGCACTTCATCCTTGAAAATGAGATTGCTGAACGCTTTTGGATCATCTATGTTTGTGGGTGTCGTTTCGACAATCGTTTTTTATGCCCACTTTTTCTGACTATTTAACATATATTAATATATATATGCTGCAGACATCATCTTAGAATGTTGCTGATAGGTTCGATCATTGAAATGAAGATGGTCAAAAACAGGAATTGCCGATAGTCACGTTACCAGCAGTGACATCTTCAAAATGCAAATTATCGAATTTCGACGAAGACTATACTGACCTTTTTTTATGTTGCAAGTACAATTGTATTGAGCTGTTGTCAAAAAACTCTCTGCAGAATTTGAACAGATAGTTTTTCTTAAATCTTTTTTACTAGATTAACTGTCTGTCAATTTCTTTGCTCTAGCCATTTAGTAAAAACTATCGACAGCTCTGATTGATAGATAATGTAGAACTCGTTTATTGAACATAAGAAATACTCATGAAAATAAAATGAAATATCTTAGTGATTTTTCAATTATTGCTATATAATAATATCTTAGATTCGTTCGATATTCATATGCTCGGCAAACATCATCGAATCGTTTTGTTGAACTCGGACGTTTCTTATATAACTTAACACGTGGAATCTTTCAATTTTTGAATCTAATACATTATTCAATAGCAACATTTAATAATATGTTATCATCATTACCTTTTTGTATACGTTATATGATTCATCTTATATTCACAATTTGTTTTCCATTTTACACAATCTATCAAACTTCTATTTTACTCATTAATCGAATTCATCGTATCACTTATCCAATTTATCGAGCAATGACATTAGTTACACGTCTATTTACTTTTTTTGTTACATTACCTATGCGTATTATTACATTTTTTACTACACAAATTCCTGTTTTATTAAGAAATCTACTTATATTATTAATACTTGCAGCTATTACGATTGGATTCATAGTTCTATTTTCGGATGGTAATCAATTTAATTATATTAAATCATATATACGAAATACTACAGATTGGATATTGAAACAGAGTTCAATGATTTGATTTATTAGAACTATTTTTTTTTGTTTAGACAGAACAAAACCAATGTATATATATGAGCAGGTACTCATTAAACGACAAAAAAAAATAAATGTAGATATATAGGTATAGAAATAAATATGTCTGCATACATATCAAATGCCCATCGAAAATTTCTAAATTTTAGTTTTTTTATGACCGGTTCGGAAGATTATATGAAATAGAAATCGTGATTGTATCTGACGGGCATGACTCAGTTTATTTTTGATTTTGATTCATTTCCAAGGCAATTTAAACGGTAATTTTTCAGTGATAGTATTTAATGCCTCTGTTGCCATTTTAATTGGATCAAAACCTAAAGAATGAAGATGAAAATAAAATAGTTTAAACAAAATAATAAAACCAAGAAACATACTATCATCATCATCTGGTAAAGGAATTGGACCTTTTTTATCGGCTGTTAAACGTCCTTCACATGGTAGTGGAGCTGATTCTTCCTTTTTCTTAATATTATACTATAAAAAGAAAACAATAAGCAACATAAAAGATTGATTATTATTATTAATAGATAAATTATATAAAGACATTCAACGAAAAAATATCATGTAAGATTTTTTATGAAGATACTTATAGAGATACAGTAGACAAGCGATAAGGTTTCACTAATTGAAAATATCTATTAAAATTTTTTCAAGTACAATTATAAATCGAAATCATTCTAGCATGGAAAATTCTCATAATCAAAGTTGAGAAAAAGAAACAAAAAAAAATGTAGCGTGTCACAATCATTTCGTGACAATTCTAGATAAAAGAGTGCAAACTTCTATTAAATCGGTATATCTCAAAGGTTAACTTTAAATGATAAATCAAACGCTTTTGTTATTCATATCTAATAAAGATATTAATGAAATAGAACAACTCAGTTTAAACTAAAAAAAGATTTTCTAATTTTACTTTTTCTCTAATATTTTGTCGAACTTCTTCTCGTTGTCGTTCCATTTTTGCATATTTAGCGTTACGTTTTTCGTCTGCTTCACGTCGAGCTTCAGCAACCTAAAATAACCAATAAAAAACGACTTCATCAGTTTTTTAATACTAATAAATCTTATCAATCTCTTTAAGAGGTAATAGTTCAGTAAAAAAAAAAAAGAAGATAAGTCTTTTCATTGTTGTCATTATCAAGTTACCTAATTATAATAAACTCACCGTTGGTGATTCAATCATACTCTTACGACGAGAATTTGTTGGTGTAGTGATTGGTGACGCAGGTGTAGACTTAGTAAATGGTGGTACAAGGGAAAAACGTCGAGTTTGTATTGGTGAGGCAGCTGATAGAAACAATGTATTAACACTGAGTTTGTCCATAGTTTTTCTTGTTTAATAAAAGAATAGTTTTTGTTTTATCAATGTAAAATGAATATTTGAAAAGACAAGAAGAATAAAAGAAAAGAAAGTATTAGAAATTGTAGGTGTACGCTATTGACGATGATGAATGAGTGCGAGGCTATATAAAATGTGTTTATATTAGAAAAAAAAGAGCCTACAGAGAATGCTATTCATTGAAGCTTCGTTTTAAAAAAAGTTACGAGAGAAAGAAAAGACAATTAAGATAAGATGAAGAGGACGGGAAACTAATAAAAAAGAATAAGGGAAATATAGGCGAGCTTCATCTTAGCTTGTAGGAAATCAATGTAATTTGTTAACTTGTCGATTAGAAAATTGAAGATTCATTCTTTTATTTTTGCGAGAACAGAAAAACTATTGACGAAGATTACATGTGTGAATGCTGCCGTGATGAGAGCTGGCTGTAAAAATCATAAATGATTCAACCAAGCAGAAATAACTCATCAAAAGCTTTCAATTGTAATTTACTTGTGAATAAAAATGAAAACAAATTAAAATAAAGTTGAACGGACTTCTGTTTCAGCTTTTTCCTATTTGTTACATAGAGAAAGTAATATTAATTTTTCAATAGATTTTAAAATCATAATCATAGTACTAATAATAATAGCCAACGACTGAGAAAAATATATATATATATAATATCACATTGATAACTTTTTGTACCTCTGGATCTTCTTCATCATCACCACCACCACCACTACCATTACCACCATCCTTTTTCTCTCCGTCGCCGCCGGCTAATTCTATAATGTCAAAAAAAAAATCATTGATCAATTAAAAAAATAATAATTCACGAGGCAACTCACTTTTACTATCAGCCTTATTGCTCATGTCTGTTATATATGAGTCGATCGTAAACTGAACGAGTTTTTTCCTTCTTTTTTTTTCTCATAATATTAACCAACTAATCTATCTTTCTCTCTATCAACGTCTTTCCTCATCCTTGGTTTTTTTTTCTCTATTTTCTCATTCCTCTTTAGAAGCTCAATGACATTGTTAATTCATTCGGATGTGAACATCATCGAATCAGCTCCCGAGTTACATAGAGAACATGTAGTCTTAAGTATAATACTATCACGTCGACTATTACAACAACTAGTATTTCAATGAGTGTCGTTGATGAGTAACTAGTAGATAGACAAGCAGTCAAGGAAAAAATATGAATTCGAGGTTGTTTGTCGCGTTACTCGTTTCCTGTCTTCAATTCTGTTGTGAATTTGAGTATATTTAAGAAGCAGATAGATGGAAAAACTAGATGAAGCGAATGAATGAAGAAGAATTATTGAAAACATATTTATTTCAGTCGACCGGTCAATCAACTCTAATCCTTCTTGTTGTAGAAATGCTTAACTCAATAATAAATATAAATATTTGATATCAAATATAAATCTATGTCTTTTTTGAAAATCATACCTTTAACTTTATCTAACTGCGAGCCCATCATTTGTTTCATGATGAATGAAGCCATAATGATATGTAAATTATACACAAATTAGTAAACGTGAGTAAAACCAATTTACACCTAGAAAACAAGGAAAAAAAACAAACCACTATAGTGATAATAGCATGTATTTTTTATCAAGGGAATCAACTAAAACTGATATGTCTATTTGAAGAAATGGAAACATATATCTTCGCTCATAACAACATTCATCTCGTTTTCCTTTCAACATCATTCTTTTTTTTCATTCTTCATCTCTTGCAATTACTATTCCTATGTCTGTCGCCGACAACTCGATAGTATCTTTCTTTCTAGCTTGCTTTTATTTCACTGTCATTTGAGTAAAGAACTATCCTACTCTTCTTTACTTCTTCGGCACATTCTACTAGCAATAATATAACTGTTAGTATGAGTGCATGTGCTTATGCATGATTCTTCTCTGATAGTTCCAATGAAAAAAAAAGATGCGACTCTAGCAGAAAAATGGATGATGACAAAAAAATTCATATATCAACTTTATATATATGTATATATCTGCGCTCAATATCATTATATACGCCGGCAAAAAAAACAAATCTGAGAAAACACTTTTCTGGTCTTGTACTTTTAGTGTAAGCGACACGACATCGATCAAAACAAGACAAGAATATATGAAGGCATCGATCTAATGGAACTATAGGAAAAAAAAACAAGCATTGAGATCTTTTTTTGTTTCATAAATATTCTTGCTGAGAATACCCCTAGATAATAGTGAGAAAAAAAATCAATTTTTAAGTCATTCACAGTTGAATACTAAGTTTGAATGAAACAAATCAAGAAATTTTCAACTAGAAAAAGGTCAATCGAGGGCTATATGTGCTCTTAATAAAAACAAAATGAAACCATCTTACACAAAAGAATACAAAGCAACTCAAAGGCTATGGTTGACATGTGTCAGTTTATAAGTCTGTTTCGTAGGTTTGTAAATCTCCTTTGTTCTTATTCTTTTTATTTCATATCGTATTTAATCAACTTACGAGTTTTTTCGATGAATAAATTGCTCTATCTAAAGAAAGTTAAAATAGAAATTTTGACACACCTCGATCGCTCATAAAAATAATCAATATGATTTGCCGTTGATTTTCTTAGTCTTTGTTACAGTTAATGTATAGTCTTCTAGGAAAAAAGAAAGAAGCACGTTAAAATGCCAATGGAATGATTTCTTTGGGAAGCTTCCGGTCGATCAGATCGGAAGAGAGTGAGAGAGACAGAGAAAGAAATTGTGTGAAACATATTTGATAGTGATAAAACCGCTTTGCTGTGCTTCAATTCATCTTTTACTTCTCTGTTTCTGTCTTCGAATCTACATCATCCATTACAATGTCGTCGGCAATGATGTTACTATTATTCGATTCAAAAAGACTTTTTCTTCTTTTCTGTCTATCCTTAGATCTGCTTGTGTTGTTGGGTGACATGGGTATCGAATCCACTTATATATATATATATATATATACAGAATAGGAAAAGAGTAGTGAGCGGCAACATCACGAAGAACAAGTGATGACGTAGTAAGAGAGAAAAAAGAAAAAAATTGTAATGTATTCATAATTATTCCTCGATAAATTGGACTAGAAAAGAAAAAAAAATGAATTTTGTTTTTGTAGGATTGTTCTTTTGTGTTGTTGTTGTTACTTTTTTTTATTTAGGATTCTACCCAATAAAAACATTAAAAATTTAATAATTGATAACGCTATATTTTATATGGATAGAAATATTGTTTTATTTAATCAAAGCCTTCTACAGGCCATTTGAATTTTTTATGTAATGATTCTTGTCCACGAGCATATTTGCCATATTTTTCCAAAGTACAATTTTTATCTGCTGTTCGCCAACCAATTAGTCTATTTGTTGTTAATGGAATTGGTCTTGGAGATGGACTAATTGTCACGTCTTCATGATGTGATGTACCATTGATTGTTAAAGGAGATGGAACACTTGAAAGTAAAGCTCCTGATGATCGTTTGGGATCGTATGGTGAAGTCTATCAAATATTCAATTGATAATTAATTAAGAGAAATGTCAGCAAAAGAAAAAAATGAACGTATACTTGAAGTTGTGCTTCATTAAGAAAACCCCATCGTTTATCATAAAATCTTTGTGCTGTTTCAATTTTTGATATATGATCTTTCCTGTAGAAAATTTCAATGTAATATATAAATAACAAATGAATACGGTTTAATTAAATTACCAGATAAGGTCTCTGGCAACATAGGACCTTTTATCATTGTACTGATCAGTTGATTTTGTCGATGTTGTTGTTGCCATTGTATTGTTAAATATTTTAGACGAATATACCAGCAATAGAATTGACGTAGAAACTGAGTAAAAGCAACCAAAAAGTAATAAAAGAGAATTCTGAAAGGACAAATGAAAGAAAAAAATTATATAACATTTCAACAAAAACAAAAAAAAAGAAAATAATGACAAGAATACTAAAACCTTTCAAAAGATGAAATCAAATGGAATTAAACAAAGAAAAAAAGAATGTATGATTGAACAATAACAAAAAATATAAAAATCGAATAATCAATTTTTCATTAGATGTACCATTCGTAGAAATAAAAAAACAAAAAATCTAGTTCGTTCTCATTAAATACATAAGTGAGGTAAATAGTCATGTGAGCTATATTTATTTCTTAGTTAATATGGTACCATCTGGCTCCTTCTGTTGCCTTGTCTTTTATTCTTATCATTAAAGAATAAAATTGCAAGCTTAGCGTATTATTAGTAGTATTGAAAAAAATATCATAGAACTGTCGACACTATAAGCACAATGCATTTCAGTGAAGGTATTGGTTCTTGTATGCTATAATTTATTAAAATAATTATGACTCTTCATTGTGTCTGACGATTATTTCCATATACTTGTCTATTGATTAACAAAAGAAAAATGGGAGGAGAGAGCATAAATTTTAATGTTTTCACAGTCACTATAAGGCTTGTTGACATCGTCTACTGACAGTTTTCGATTTGTCTTATTATCATTACGGTTTCCGTCTTCATTGTTCTAAGGAAAATCATTGAAGGAAAAAAATCGACAGATACAGAGAAAGAACGAGAAAGAATGAAACAAAAATGTCAAAGAAAATAGAGAATGAAAAGCAACTGTGATAAATTAGATCGTTAGAAAAGTCACAGTCGACTATTAGCTCACTTAAATATTTATGAAATAAATGACGTCACAGTCAGACGATGATATATTTATTGATTCTCCAACTAATAAAGATTATGTGTTCTTTCAACCATCTTCACCTAAATCAATAACAAAAATGAAACGTTATCAAAAATTATCATGCAAAAAATTTTAGTTTTATGCATATATAAAATATATCATTCGTTTTTTTTAATTTGATTTTTTTGTTCTAATCTTTAGACGATACGACAAATTCAACAGTACGTTCAATTAAATCATCTGCAATGTCCCTAATGGAAAATGGCGATAATGATCGAAGTATATATGGAAATCGTAAACTAAGTCTAC